AAAACCGAAAACAATGAAGTGAAGTATTTAAAAATTTCAACCCACCTAATTATTTATCATTTTGAAGTAAATAAACCCTTCTGCGGTTTGCTCGTCCAATAGACTGGAAATGAAATCGGATCTACGTCACCACTTCCGATTATCAGGAATCAGCTATTGGTTAGAAGTGGGGACAAATTCACCAATTGGTTCTGTAACTAAAGACCGAGTAAGAGTAGAAAGAGACATCCAGCCACCGTCGAAGTAAAACAGTGAGCAATTTCCTTTAGACTGATAACAAGGCTAAATTTCTCTCGTCCCGACAATTTTCTTCCCGACTTGACAGTCGCTCTGGTTGACCTGCACTCAGTCTTTAAATTAAATAACGCTTTCTCCTTCCTCCCAAATCATGTTATTTTTATTATAAATTCCGTAATATTGAATAAAATAATTAATATTCATTTTAGTCTTCAAAGCAAGAATAAATTTGTTGTTAACCTTCTTATAAAAGGCAATATTACTTCATCATAACTTCTTTGTGCTTTACATCAAAAGAATTTGCAATTATAATCATTTATTAATTCATAAACTTCAATTAGTCATTGTCAATTTAATATAAAAATCATAATTTAATTTCACAAAAAAAAAATAAAATAAAATAAATAATTATGTAATTTTATGAGCACTCTCGAATTAATATTTGCACGGAAAACCTAAATGTGCAAAAGCTGCTTCGAGTTGTTCTATTATTGTGAACGTTCAAGCACTCTTTGACAGTGCGAATCAGCAAGTGCCGTGTGTATGTTTGCCACTGTTTTTTTTCTTTACGCTCTCAGTGTCGGCTTTTTACCGTAATTTCAACACTGAGATTAACTTTATTCTACACAAACTATTTTTCTCCGTAAACACAAAGCTTTTTTATACTTATTTTTTCGTCCTTTACTTTAAAAAAAAAATATTTACACTTTTTTTTATATATATATTTTTTTTAATTACTACTTTTGCAATAGATAAAGAAATGCTGGCGGAAAATTTTTCATTTGGATTTCGTATAGGCTACCCTCCCTGTCTATATACGTGTATATAATAGTTCAATTGGGAAAACGGCTGTAATTTTCTGGCTGAACAAATACTGTTGGATTTCCCGAGTCAAATAGCCTGGGAAAAATAAATCGTAAAATGTTCAATCTATATATCAGATAATGCTTGATTAAGATAGGTTTAGATAATACCACTAAATTAGATCTATTGTTCATTTATTCTCGCTATCGCAATGACGATAAATAAAATTAGAGATTAATTTTGTGAGCATTACAATTGACCTGAAAATTAGATTTAATTTTTAAAAAATTACTTTTGAATTAAACAAGATTTTTAATTAAAAATAAAAAAAAAAAATACAAGAGTAAAATTGTAAATTTTTATATAATTTTTTTGAGTAAAAATAAATACAAAGTATTTCTTAAAAAATAAATTTACTGATCTATTATTATTATTATTCTTCAGAACGGATGATTTGATATCAATACATATTTTTTAGCAATACCCTCATGTATAATTTATTTATTCATAAAATCATTATTCCGCTAAACGATATAGCTGGATACGAATATCTAATCAAGCCAACTGACATACGCATTGCGACGGTTTCTCTATTTTCATCAAAATATCAAATGAACCCCACGATACGCCAATTTTAAATTAGAAAATGTCATTCCACCTTATTTTTCATTCCCGGAAATATAATTTACAATCTACATTATTGTAAAATTTGTAACCTCGAAAATGTTAAAATTAAATAATCTGCTAGCGATCGAGCTAATTATAATTTATAATATTCATCAGATTTGTTATGAAAATTTAATTCGAGTCGTAGCGTGTACATGTATATTTAAAGAAGAGAATTAATAAAAATGTCACTAGCGCTACTAATGAAATTTTCCAGGTCTGACTGCATATAAATTGTGCTACTTGATACCCGCGTATTTATATATTTAGAGATATTCCTTCGTCGAACAGCGCTATGAAAATAATTATTCAATTTATTATTATATCATAAAGTGAAATACGTAATCTATAAATTTATATTTTTCAATATTTATGAGAGGAATAAGAAATACGGAAAGCTTGTTAGCAAACACGCTGAGAGAGAGTATTTACTGTATGAATTAGCTGTCAGTTTATATTTTAACCATCAATTTTATTTAATTTACCATCAATCTATTTATGAGACTATAAATATAAATAACTTATCAATAAATATAAACTTCACTTTTTTATGACGAAATAAAATATTTTAGATTCAATATTTATTAACTAGTTGATGTTTTTTTCATAGTAATAAAAATCATATCTTACTTTTTAAAATAATTTTTTAATTAATAATCTATATTATTAAAAGAAAAAGAAAAATTTTGTTCCCAGGATAGTTATTTCATTTCATTTTCACCGATAGTCAATTTATTATGATAAGTATTCAAACTGCATTAAAAAATGCTCTATCTCTAGATACATAATTAAGAAATGACCTTTTATCTTGTGAAATATTGACATTTTTAATGATATAAGCTCATCCCGACATTACACTCATCGAGACCTTTCATTAGAGTACCCACATCAATTTTTCATATATTTTATATATTTCACAAATACCATATATATATATAATATATAAAAAATGCCATGTGGGTACTTAAATGAAAGGTCTCGATGAGTGTAACATCGAAATGAGTTTATATCTTAAAAAATGTCAATAATTAAGAAATGACATTGTATCTTGTCAACTAATGACATTTTTAAAGATATAAGCTCATCCCGATGTTACACTCATCGAGACCTTTATATAATTTATATAAATATATGAAAATGCCATGTGGGTACTTAAATGAAAGGTCTCGATGAGTGTAACATCGAAATGAGTTTATATCTTAAAAAATGTCAATAATTAAGAAATGACATTGTATCTTGTCAACTAATGACATTTTTAAAGATATAAGCTCATCCCGATGTTACACTCATCGAGACCTTTAATTTGAGTACCCACATCAATTTTTAATATATTTTATATATTTATATATATAAATATATGAAAAATATATAAAAATGCATGTGGGTACTCAAATGAAAGCTCTTGATGAGTGTAACATTATAATGAGCTCATATTTTAAAAAATGTTAATAATTAAGAACTGACTTTGCTATCTTGTCAACTAATGATATTTTGGAAGATATAAGCTCATCCTGACGTTGTACTCATCAAGACCTTTCATTTGAGTACCCACATCAATTTTTCATATATTTTATATATTTATATATTTCACAAATACCATGTATATAAAATATATAAAAATGCATGTGGGTACTCAAATAAAAGCTCTTGATGAGTGTAACATCGGGATGAGCTTATATTTTAAAAAATTTCAATACTTAAGAAAGTACAGTGCAATTTAGGAAAAGTCATTATTTAATAAAGAAAAATTTTAATTTTTTTTAGTTCACAAGTCACGACAGTCTCTCTAATAATTTTTAATTTAAATTCATTACTTGCAATGTTTTATAATTGAGAGATAGAAAATTTATGAGCGATTAAAGTGAACAAAGTTATTGAATTGGCAGTTAATTAATTTATGCTGTATCTGAAATTCAAACTGATTCAACGGAATAGTTTCGGTGGATAGGTACTGTTGCATTGGTAAGCAAATGTAAATGAGAGAATATATAATTAATTATAGTGGCGATATGTGGAAGCGTTGATAATACAATTAATCTCCCATGTCGACACTCGACACTAAATACCAAATGCGAGCCAGTTTGATTAATCGATATTAACTTTGTCAAGAATCCCATCAAGTGCTTTTTACAAACATCACCATGCATTTATGCGTAAACCAACTAAAATCTACAACTTAGTATGTTTACCTACTACATGTTTTACATTATACGTTCCACGTGTAATTAAACCGTCCTGGTAAGCAACCAGGGAACCTATTTAAATGTCCTCCCACTTATTTCTTCCTGCCACTGACAGGGTTTTGTTCTTCCGCTTTCAAAGCTCTGCTCCTGTATTAGATTTTTTACAACTCAAGGATTTGAACGAGCGAGTACTTCTTTGAAGGCTTTACTTTACGTTTACTCTACTTCTTTCTTTCATTTCCTAAGACTTAGCTTCCCATTCAATCTTACTCGCTGAAAATAAGTTTAAAAAAAAATGGAAATATATTATTTTATATTTTTACCTAAGCTAGTTTTTTTTAATTAAAGAATTTTTCTGCCCTCCGGCCGGAAAGTGGCAACTTTCTGGCCGCTGCGCTAAACAAAGTTGCCACATTCCGGCTACGTCGAGCAGAAAAATAGTATACACACCTTGGCCAGTAAAAAGTAAAGCCTCAGACCACATGTTTGTCAACCTCGGCTTCGCTTCGGCCAACAATTACATGTGGTCTGAGACTTTTCTTATTTTACTGGCCTAGGTATGTAATATACTATTAATTTCTAAAAAAAAAGATTTCTAATAACAATAAATTTTCAAAGCAGTGATAAAAGAATTGTCGATATATTGGAGCTTAAAAAAAAGTTATTGAGGAGTAATTTAGTGCTTAAAATGAATACAGATGAGATTCGAAGAAAAGAAGAAATAAAGCTGAAAGAAAAAATCAAAGAAGAGAAGAAAGAAAGGCACTTGTAGACGCGTTTTCTCGAGTAGCCGATGAAGAATAAAGAGTGGTCGAAGAATCAATAGCTCAATTTTAAGTATTTTCTGATGTTGAATAAAAGCGAACGTATCCGAGCACACCCGACCTTATTTTGATCACCTCAATGTTATTAAATCACACATTTTTCTTCTTTGTCTTTCTTCATCTCTTCTTTTGCTAAATTAACAATTTTTTATTTTTTTTTATTTCAGCGTGAAACCTGGAAATTTATTTGCGTGTCCTCTGACGCAAGCTCTGGCCAAGAATCTGAATAAATATTAATATCCACATTAATTTACAAAGAAGTTAATAAATAAAATACTTGGATAAGATGGATAGAAAGATATTTATATTTTTAACATTTATTACTTCAAATTATCTCACGGCTGGCAAGTTGTACGTTAATGTCAGCGGCGATATAACACTTGGAGCGCTTTTTCCCGTCCACAAGAAAGGCTCCGACGGCAAGAGCTGCGGTAATATTCAGGTGAGCTTAAGTAAAGTTACTTGTTCTCTAGGCGATGATAAAAATAATAACAAAATATAAACTAAAGGCGAAGTTTTGTAAAAATAAAAAACAAAATAACATCTGATTAAATTGATAAGACGAGGAACCCTTAACACGGCTTTTCGATCGAGTGGGTACTTTTACAACCGAAAGTCACGTGTCACTGCCCGGTAGACACGTCAAATCGTACTTTACTGTATCTAGTATCTTGACACAAGCAGTATAGAGCCAAAAAAGTAAATATATAAAAAAAATGAGCAAGTGTCTTTGTATTTGGCAGGAACCCAATTGGAACGAGTAGATCGGAGTTTCTTCAGTTCAACTTGAATTATATAATATATGACTATGACTGTAAGAATTAGAGCCATTCATTACTGATAACATCTAGTGCAGGGTCTTGAATGCGGTATAAATTTTCCATGTAATTGAAAAAAAATTTATCGGTCATAGTTATTAAAGAGTTTGATTTAATTCATACTCGATTTTTCTTTCCGTGGATATTTATTGAAATTACCATTTTTATCGAAATTTTATGATCTTACCTGTGAAAACAAATTTTTAATACGTTTATACGGTCATATATACCGAAAAATAATTTTTTAAAAATTAATATCAAAAATTTCCAACAGGTAGCGCATGGTCGCTAAATCTTCTCACTACCAGAGAGTTAATTTTTGAGATATTAATATATAAAATAAAATTTGACAGATTATAATAAATAAAATCCCAAAACTTTTTTAAAAATTAGTATTAAAAATTTCCAACAGGTGGCGCATGGTCGCTAAACATTCTCACTACCAGAGAGTTATTTTTGAGATATTAATATATAACTAAATTTGACGGATAGATTTTTAAAAATAAATAATTATAATAAATAAAATTCCAAAATTTTTTTAAAAGGATAGTAAAGATTGAAAATAGAATTTTTCTTTTATTTTTTATCGAGTTTTTTCCTGGACTTTTATTTTGCAGCTAGAAGATGGTATTCAACCTCTAGAGGCAATGCTTTTCACTGTACAACAGATAAATCAAAATCCGAGAATCCTACCGGGGATAAAACTCGGTGTTCTTGCTTTTGATTCCTGTGACAATCCAAATCATGCGCTGCAGCAGGCATTGAATTTCGTAAAGGGTAAATATAAATATTGTATATGATGTATTGAATTTTGTAGACTGAATTGTGAGGCTAAAGATAATATTTGTTATCATTTTTATTCGATATAAAAAAATTTGTGCTTTTATTTTTGAAAATAAAAGGGTTCATAGCTCACGTGAACGAATACCACGACACGGAATTCCAGTGCTCAGACGGGAGCGTTCCAAGATTTCTGGGCGGAGGGTTTGATAAAGTCGTCTCAGTTCTTGCCGCCCAGTCGAGTTCCGTAACGCTACAGGTAATGGACCTAAAATAAAGTAAACGATGCGGGAAAAAACGTTGTTGATTGATCGGAAGCCATGTTCCCAGTTAAATTTATTCCAATTGAGTTTTCTTGGTTGTTACCAGCGTAAACAACCTGTACCCGTCAAAGGGATGCATTAAACACTCGAGCGAACTAGAATTTCAGAACAGGTTAATTCTGCTTAACTCCCTTCTGATAAATTTGTTCAATCAACTCTTCACAAAGATACATTCGTTACATTATTTATCTAAACACTTTTTATCAAAAGCACTTTACAGTTTTAGTTTATAAATTAGTTTAACAAATATTATTATTTTTTAATTTTGTAAAAAGGTTCTCTACAAGCTCAAAAACAAATTTTAATTTTTCAAAAAATAAAATTTAGTGCTACAAAAAAAAAATATTAAAATTTATTTATGTTACATTGAAAGATTAGAAAAATTATGTTTTTTTATTTCAATTTCATTTTTAAGGATTTTTTATTGCTTATAGTTAAAAATAAATAACTCTATCGAAAAGGTGAGAATTTTTTACATAAAAAATTGTCTTAGTAGAATTTTTATTAAAATTTTTTCTCTTTGAAAAAAATTATTAAAAAATTGGGAAATTTGAGCGATCCAAAATTACTGATTACTGACTACAATAGCTTACACGAATAGTAAATATTAAAAAGCAACTACTAAATTTCAAATAGACCTATTCTTCCAACCCTGCGATTTTTTTCGCTTATTTGTATTTTCATTATTTTCACTACAATAGAAACGACAGATGATAGAAAAATCGTATGGTATTTACAGTCAGCTGGCGTTATTTTTTTTATTGCGTGTTTTTTTATCCAGGTTGCCTCGATGCTCCGACTATTTGGTGTACCTCAAATATCATACATGGCGACTTCACCATCGCTGAGTAGCAAAGAAAAATATCCGCATTTTTTTCGAACCGTACCAAGTGACATGAATCAAGCGCACGCTATGCTAGAAATTCTCAAGTAAGTTTTCTCCAAACAGCGAAGTATATTTCAAAAATGCTTTTAAAATTCTACGCTTCAAGTATGAAAATAAATTTATCCAAGAAGCTGTAATTCAAAAGACTCTTCTTCCCTGAAAATTGTTTTTTTGATTTACTTTTTTTTAAATAAATAAATAGACATATTCAAAAAAAATTAAAAATTTTTAATGATTGAATATTTGGAATAGTTCACTCAATTAAACTATCAAATTATAACTTTGACAATCTAAACTTTGGTTATTTGTACTTTGAAGTTTTGTCAATTTAAACTTCAGCACAAATATCGAGATTATTATATTTTTCATACATAATGAGACAAAAATTTCTGTATGAATTATTTTATTAAAAAATTACAATATTAATTAAAAAATTTTATTTATTTTTTAGAAAAATTAGTAATTATAAAAAAAATAATGCAAATTTTATTTGAGAAAAAAAATTAAAAATTAGACCTTTAATTAAAAAAAAAAAAAAATAATAATTAGAAAATTTTTTATTTGTTCCAAAAAAAATTATAAAAATAAAATTACAAAATTTTCTAAAAAAAAAAAAAAGCAACTTTTAAAGTATAAAATAATTTTAATGAATAAATTTATGAATCGAAAAATAAATTTATAATTTCAACCCCGACTAAAAGAAATAAATTTGAAATTTTAACCCCAGTGGAGTTGTGGGAATTAATAGGATGTACTGAGAAAATACATTGAGTGCTATTACTTGTTAGTGGTTGGGTGGGTAGAAAGCTCGTATCCCAGAATCCGCAATCCTATGTCCGAGACGTATACCCGAAAGTTTTTAGCAAAACTATTGGCATTGTTCTAGGCGATTTGAGTGGACTTATGTGTCAGTGGTCTACTCCGACACCGAGTACGGTAATCACGGATACGAGACCTTAGTTTCGCTGGCCAACAACTATTCAATCTGCTTCAGTGCGCCACAGAGGATAGACAAGGAGCATTTCGTAGCAGAAGACTACGATAACGTCATTCGTACAATCACTAACAAAACTCAAGTTAGAGGTACGTTTCCTGTAATCGATTCCAGTCTGCTCTTCTATTATATTCCATGCTTCTATCCCGCCTATGACTAACTATACTATAACTGTTAACTACACACCCACACACCCTCGAATTCGTCGCTTGACAGTCGAAGCTCTTTGTTTCTGTCTGCTAGGAAAAATTGCTTGTACTCCGAGCTATTCACCTTGCTAATGGAATTTCAGCTCTGATTTTTTTGTCTTCGGAAAAAATCGAAAAGAAGCCACAAAGACGGATTAAAAAAAATCTCCAGTAAACTTTTTGAAATAATGAAGTTAATTAATTAACACTTTGTTTTCTTTTTTAATTATTAAGTTACTTACTACTTATATAATATATTAATTTATTAATCGGCTTTACGGATTAAAGGTACCAGTTGATTTTATTACAAGATTTACATTAATTAAACTCCAGCGATTTGTAAGCGGATTAAGTTTTGTCGGACTAAAAATCGAAGTAAACTTTTATTTATTGATAAAACAAAGTAAAAAAATTTTTTTCTGCTTGATTCAAGGCAAAAAATAACTCGAAATGATTATTTTATCTCTAACTACAGTTAGAGATTATTCCTCTTGAATCAAGTTACTTCTTTAGCACCATAAAGTCCAAACTTCTATAATTAGATAAAGATAACTTGGTAAAATAATAAATTTTATTTCAGTGGTAGTACTTTTCGCGGAGAAAACAACAACTCTTCGAGTACTCGAAGCCGCCCGACGACTTGGAGTTGGCACGAGATTTGTGTGGATTGGAAGCGACGCTTGGCCAAGTACAAATCATCGTGATTTGCACAGTTCGGGAAATTACAATAGGGACCAAGAAACTGTTGTGCTGGAGGGGGCGCTTGCTGTTCAACCCTTGTCGAGACACTTGGGTGGTTTTGATGATTACTTTACTAATCTGACCCTAAGTCACGCTGAAGTCAATCCTTGGTTTCAGGAACTTTGGCAGGAGTACCATAAGTGTGATAAAGATACTTTGGTAATAAAATTTTTCAATTTTTTTTTACTTTATCATTATTATTATTTTAAAATTTTAATTATTTAAAAATTTTTTTAATAATAAAATATTTCGTGAATGTTCTATCTCTAGATACAAAATTAAGGAATGACCTTGTATCTTGTGAACTATTGACATTTTTAAAGATATAAGCTCACTCCGACATTACACTCATCGAGACCTTTCATTTGAGTACTCACATCAATTTTTTATATATTTTATATATTTATATATATGAATATATGAATATATGAAAAATATATGAAAATGCATGTGGGTATTCAAATGAAAGCTCTTGATGAGTGTAACTTCAGGATGAGCTTATATCTTCAAAAACGTCAATATTTAAGAAAGTACAGCGCAATTTAACAAAAGTAATTATTTAATAAAGTAAAATTTTATTTATTTATAGTTCACAGGTTTCTTCAAAAATTTTTCAGCTATGACAAAGAAACTCTTTTAGATAATTTTTTCGGTTTAAGAATTCTTCTCTTGACTAAATTCAATTTTTTTTTTTTTCACTATTAATGAAAAACTTCCAATAAATAATAATAAAAAATATTTCCAGGATGGCTGTGATGATCCATCAATGAAAATGAAATATCGCACAGCTTACAAGCAGCAAAGATTCATCCACTTCGTTCGGGACGCGGTTTACGCGGTGGCTCATGCGTTGCATAATCTACAGGTGGAGGCATGTGGGAAGAATTTCATCGGTATTTGCGACAGAATGAGACATATAGACGGTGAAACTCTGTCAAAGTACTTGAGCACGGTCACGTTCAAAGGTAAGTAAGTAAGTGAGTAAGTCTTGTTCAGCCTCCAACTGGATGATGTTGACGTACTCAAGTGTATTATTACTTAAGCGGCAAACATTCGGCAATTTCCATCCATAGAGCACAAGTTCAACTACTACACTCCACACTACTCTATATTACATCTTGTGCTTTCAGATGAAGCCGGTAATCCATTTAGGTTCGTTAACAAAGTTGACGGTCCACCCCGCTATTCTATTTTGAATTTCCAGCGCGAAGACGACGGAACTTATCGCTGGCACGTTGTCGGCAATTATACCCGTAAGTCTTCTGTACAATCTTTAGCGAATAAGTTCCTCTTAAAATTTAATTATTGCTGTTTAATCTAAAGCTTTAATTTCAATCTTTGGACTCAATCCACAGAAACGAACGGCGAGAAGTCGGTTTTGTTCGTCGACGAAACAAAGTTAAAATATCGCAACGAAAATGAATCAGGAGCGAAATTTTTCCCCAGATCGGCTTGCTCGTCGCCTTGCCAGCATAACCAGGTCGCTGTTAGGGAAAAACAGGACGCTTGTTGCTGGCACTGCCAAGATTGTGGCTCCTATCAATTCAAAGCTGACGAGCACCGCTGCCAAGACTGCGAAAAAGGAAAAAAGCCCACCAGTGACAGAAAAAGTTGCGAATTAGTCGAGGAAGAATTTATTGATTACTCGAGTCCTTGGGCCGTCGGCGCGATGGCTGTTGCTAGTTGCGGTAAACTAATTAATTAATTACTTAAAATTTTTATTATTAATTTTTTTATTGTAATCAACAGGAATACTAGCGACTATCTTTGTACTATCAGTTCTCTGGATTTACAGCGACACGCCGATAATAAAAGCCTCCGGTCGCGAATTGTCCTCGCTATTATTGGTAGGAACGCTGATATCATTTCTGATGACGTTCGCTATTGTCGCGGAACCGAATGTCGAGACTTGTGCAATCACCAGGTTCGGAGTTGGCTTCTGCTACACGCTTTGCTACGCGGCTCTGGTCACTAAGACCAACAGGATCCACAGGATCTTCAATAAAAAGTGCCATAGCCCTCACAAGCCGAAATACACCAGTCCGAAGTCGCAAATTGTTATTACGGGGCTTATTACTTCTGTGGAAGTTTTTATCAATGCTCTGTGGCTGTACATTGTACCCTCGTCGATTTTGTATTCGTATCCTTCAAGAGATACTAGGATACGCATCTGCAGCGGGCTTGATGATGAGTCTTACTTGGTTGGATTAGTTTATCCATTTATTTTGATAGGTTTGTACACAGAAAAAAATTTATTTGAACCAAGTTAATAATTTTTAAGAACTATTTTTTTGATTTGAGTAAAAAAATTCTTAAACTAAGAAATTTTTTTTGGTTTAAGTAAATTTTATTTATCTCCGTGTCTTTATTTATTTGTAACAATTTTTGAGACAAAAATTTCTCATGCAAAAAATTATTATTCAAAAATTTCTTAAATATTTTATTATCACAAAAAAAATTAATAATTAAATAAATGTTAATTTTAATAATATACTTTTACTTGATTCAAAAAAATTTTTTTTTATTCAAGTTATTTTTTTTCTATGTAAAAAAAAATTGTTTTTAAAAAAAATTGGTACTTAAAATTTTTTAAAAATTCTTATTTATTTTATTTGAAATAAAAAAACTTTTATATCGATTGGGTACGTATATTCCTTAATTAAATGATTGATTTGTTTATGTACTGAATTGCAGTGATTTGCACGATATACGCAGTGAAAACAAGAAAATGCCCGGATGGATTCAACGAAACCAAACACATTGCCTTCACGAATTACACGACATTGATACTCTGGTTAGCGTTCGTGCCACTGTACCTGGCGTTCACCAGTAATGCAATCAGAGTTGTTACACTGGCGCTGTCACTCTCTTTGAGCGGAATCGCCCAACTTGGGTGCTTGTTTTTTCCAAAAGTTTATATCGTGCTGATGAAGCCGGAGAAAAACACGAAAGAACTTGTTATGGCCCATCACAGAAGTTCCTGTTATTTGTCGTCATCCGCAGCGACGCCAATTGTTGTTCTCAATGGTAATCCATTCGTATTTTCCACACCAATCAAAAAGGCGTAGAAGATGGTACTGTTTTTTTAGTTTTTTTTAACCAGTTGCTTATTAACAAAGTAACAATTTAAAAAAATTGTATCACTAATCATTGTCATTATCATTAATTATTTATTAATACACAAATATGTCATTAATTTATTAATTGATTATTATTAATATAAAATTATTTTAGGGAATTATTTGAAAAACATTCAAGGTAATGAATCATTACTAAGATCATCACGTAATAGTAGTACAACTTCAACTTTATGTAAATATCATTATTATTATTATTATTATTATTATTATTATTATTATTAAAAATTTGGTCTCCGATGTTACACTCATCGAGACCTTTCATTTAAGTACCCACATCAATTTTTCATATATTTAGATATATTTATATATATATTATATATATAAATATATGAAAAATATATAAAAATGCATGTGGGTACTCAAATGAAAGCTCTTGATGAGTGTAACATCGGGATGAGTTTATATCTTCAAAAAAGTCAATAGTTAAGAAAGTACAGTGCAATTTAACAAAAGTCATTATTTAATAAAGCAAATCTTTTATTTATTTCTCAAGTCACGGCAGCCACATAGTGACTGCAAAGTTGCTAGTAATAATAATGTCAAAAAATTTCTATGTCATGATTATTATTATTGTTATTTTTGTTGATGTTATTATTATAAATTAATAAGTTTTTATAAATTTTAGGTAATACAAAGCCATTGATTGATATAAATACGTCGAACGAAGCAATTAATGAAAACACCGAGTCAGAATTAAAGCTGACGTAGACTTTTTATAAAAAAAAAAATAAAACAAACGAACTGGGACACAACAGAGAATGCTTCCCTAATAATTAATGGTTAATCAATCAATTAATTCTTCCAATGTATAAAAACATTCGCGTTTTATATTAAAACTAATAAACCACCGTAAAAAAAATTAAAAAAGTGGAGACTTTATAAATATAAATTAAATTTACAATAAAATATTTAATGGATACATATCGCTAACTTAAGAAAATATTTATTAAATAATTAGTTAATTAATTAACTGTGTATTCCATACATATCGAGTACTTAGAACCAAATATTTAATAAATACGCAGGCTGTGTTAATACACGAGTACTCAACCGCTTACCTTTTTTAATTCATTTTTTCTATTTAAATAATAAAAATAAAAAATAGAGCTGTTTAATGTAGATGTACATATCACTGATTTATTGAAAAATAATTGATTAAAATACAGCAATAATTACTCAGTACACTATACATGTAAAAATAATGCCAAGTGTTTTAAAAAATTTCGAATGATTGCCATAAGTCCAAGCCACAAAAATATCTATTACTATTTGATTAATTACTAATTATACGATAATTAATTAATTATATAAAAAAAAATAATAACATATCCTCACATAAATGCCTATATGTTACATTGTATATATTTGTACATAATAAAAATAAATTAAATAATTATAAACCTTATATAAATTTTCTTAATTTTAAAATTATCCACTAAGGCACATTAATAATAGTAATACTACTGTGCAATAAATATAATTGTAATTACTAATTATGATTACTTTAATGTGATGTACTGTGGTAATATATATATATATTTAATAAATGATATAAATATAAGGCACTTAGATGCTAATGAAATGTTTTCACTTCATTTTTAATTAATGGTATAATTAATTAAAGAGAAAACATATTGATATGATAAGATATATATGATATTGCTCGTTACACATGAGTTGAATCATTAATTACTAATTACTGATTATTACTATGGATATATATTTCTCTAAAACATATTATATGAATTGATAATTTTAGTCAATTAAAAAATGAATATAAAATTATCAATTAAAAAATTAATAGCTGCTTAAGGGCAAATATTTTAATATCCTGAATTCTGGAAGACTGGATACTCATTAAGAGTCCAAAGTTTGTACAATTATTGATTTATATCTATCCCTAATTACTCTTAAATTTAACTAAGGTCGGCGCCACGCCAATCCGATGTTCTGACAAAAAACATTCTGAATTTTGAGCAATAAATTTTTCATTTTTGAGCAGTTTAAATTTTTTAATTTGAGCGAATTGAAATTTTTTTTTTGTACCGAGCGCGTGTTTTTAATAATTTATCTAGGTAATGTAAATGTTATAGAATTATTGTAATAAAATATATGTTTTTCTCATAACACCGAACGTGCATTGTAGCGACGAACCTATGCAGAGCACGCTTTTATCGCAACACTCTGCTCATAAGGCCTTCCATGGACGGAATTGCTGACAAGGCTTTATGCATACGTCTAAATAAATAAACATACGATAATCTAAATTACAATTACAAATACTCACACGTTTTTTATAAATATATATAAACATTCATTTTAACTATCATCATTATATAATGATAATTAATAATTAATAATTACTTTTTTTTTTTTAACTATTTATTGTTTACGGAATAAAATTACGGTTTAAGTCACACAGCCGCGCGGTTTACGAGTGTAACACTAATTATCATTTACGCACTTATTAATCGTATTATCAATTAATAAACCATTTATACTAATTATTGATAACTCTATCTGTATTTTATCATTATGTACTAATTTTAAAATATAAACACAACAAACCCGAATTTTAATTAGGGCGTAAAAAAATTTCATCCTTCAAAATAACTGATGAGTAAAAATTTATAAACTTTTAACAAATATTTAGTTATCACTTTTTTTATTTTTCGGTACTGTAATTAAACATTTAATTTAAAAATTAAATTTTGTATCAATAAAAAATTTATTTTTTTTTATAAACAAATTATTAAAAGAATTTTTTTTCTTTAATCTTAAGAAATTTTATGTTAAAAAATCTCTAGATACATAATTAAGAAATGACCTTTTATCTTGTGAACTATTGACATTTTTAAAAATATAAGCTCATCCTGATGTTACATTCATCGAGACCTTTCATTTGAGTACCCACATCAATTTTTCATATATTTATATATATTACATATATGTATATATGAAAAATATATCAAAAATGCATGTGGGTATTTAAATGAAAGCTCTTGAGGAGTGTAATATCAGAATGAGCTTATATCTTTAAAAATATCAATATTTAAAAATGTACAGTGCAATTTAACAAAATTCATTATTTAATAATTAAAATTTTAATGACAGTACCGATTCAATAAAATGGAATGTAAAAAAGTTGAATATAAATTCTAAAAATTTAAAATGAGCTTTCATGTTTGGACTTAAAATTATCCTTAAGATTTTCTGGGGAGGGTGTCATCGCGGGGTTGTCATACGCGAATTCTAGAGTAGTATCTTCGCTCGCGTACTTTCTGGATACATTAGTACTAGTCGTGTCTGGTGTAGAAGACCCGTTAGAATTAGATTTACTGTCCGAGCTCTGGGAGGCCGAAGACGGTGGGGAAACTGCAGCACTTATTGTCGGCAAGGTCGAAATCACCGCGTTGGACGCTGGCTTGACGACGGTAACAGCCTCGACGTCGGTTCTTACTTTGTTGTTATTGTTCTTGGCCCACTTTTTCCCGAAAAGCTTCTCCAGCGCGGAACGGATCCTCTTGAACTTAACGACTGTTTGTATCAGGAAGATTATTATCGCGAGGATCGTTATCAGCGTTAGCGCCAGGGAAATTTTAACCAGCGACCCCAGCCGTTGAACATCTTCTGTGAACATTTATTGATAATGTTATTGCCTATTAAGTTTTGAGTTGAATCATCCGGAAGATAACTTTTGTAGACTCTTAAAATTAAAGTTTTTTTTTATTTTTTTTTTTTCTCCAGTAAAAGTTACCCTCGTAAATTCAGATAACAATTGTTATGGTCAAGTCGATTACACCGAGGTTTTTACGGCTCTTACTTAGGTCATAGGTAAAGAACGTGGAGATTGGATTTATCGATCTTACATCAAGTTGATGCATTTCTTACAGCTTTTACCATTTATATAGAGAAATTTATATCACTCGAGTTCAAAAGCAGAGTTACTTACTCTATAAAAATCAATATTACTTTTTTAGTTTCCATAAAAGAGAAATTTGATCAATTATTTATGGTATTACTTCTCTCTAAAAGCTCTTTAAAATTTTATATGAATTTATTTTTTACAGTTTTATGATTATTTTTTCGATAAATTTTTATTTTATTGCCAAATCGTGAAATTTTATAATAATTTATAATTTTTTTTAATAAATTAAAAAATTATAATAATTTAAAAAATTCTTTAATTTTCATTAAAAAAAAAAAATAAGGTAAAAGTATTTGTAAATTTTTATTTAAACTTTAAAAATATAAATTTTTAGTTATTTTTTTATTAAAAAAAAAAATGTATTAAATAATTTAGATATTTTTAATAAATTTATAAATTTTGACATTTAAAAAAAAAATATTTTGTTAAAATTTTTAAAGAAGAAAAAATAAAAAATATTAGAACAAAGGAAGTAGAATTTCGGTCTAGTCCTGTCCAGTTATTTCTTAAAGCGAGTTCTACGATCTAGGATGAACATAAATAAAATCGCGTGCATGTCATACTGTGCCAGTCTTGTAGCAGTAAAATCGAGCGATATATATTGCGTGCAGACTGATATGCATCGCGTATGACTCTACATAAAAATAATCTCGTGACATAATAAAAAGTTAGAATAAATTTTCTTGAATAATTAATTTTCCCGAACAATTAAAAAGGAAACTTTAGTATTTATATAATTTAAAGTAAACAGATCAGTAGATTTTGGTAAAACAGAGACAATATCATCCTCTGTTAAATAATTAAACCGTTAAAATCTCCTTCTACATTTATCACAGGAGTTACAGTCACTTAATCTCTCGGAGAGTATGACTCACACTGTCTAATTAATATTCTAACGGTGTACTAACTTACCTCTTAAGTTCTCATCTCGTCCCGGCTCTGCACGTAGTACGTATCTCTGGTCGTGCAGGTACTCTGAAAGTTAATGTTCAATATAAAGAAAAAGTAAAAATAAAAATTAAATTACTACGTACTTTTTAAAATATTAAATACATTGAAAAAAAAAATAATTAAATGATTTTTTTATTTTATTAAAGATAATTATTTTAACAAAATAATTAACCAAGCTTTGACGAGCGTTAATTTGTAAAAGTTAAGACAAACAGACGTTTGAAGCGAGGGTGTAAAATATAATCCAATAGAGTTGATTAGCAAATTTGTTTAGAATACAAAGATGCGCAAGGATGATAAGAGACGTTCAACGTTGATAGATTGTTTATGTGTATGTATGTAAGTTTCAGTAAACATCGTGTGTATCTCTGTATATATCTATATATGTTTACATGCATAAGGTTGTAGTGAGCGTCAACATCAGGTTTGTTAACTCAACGGAAGCCAGCTCGTTATCGAGTTGGCACAGAGTGTTAACGAGCCGCGGTTCAAAACTTACAAACTTCCAAAGTACTAAGTCTAACGCGTCTATCAATTCCACGACATTTCCCGTGTTCGAAACTTGCTTCATTAATTCTAATGATTATCGTTATTACATTATCGCCAGTATTCCACTTAACTATTTATACCCTTAATTATTTCACTTTATAACTATTATTATCGCTTTGCCCGTTTTTTTTTAACGTCGAGTTCCGTTTTTTGGGCGTAAAAATTCAAAATTTAATTAATTATAAGTAAAAAAAAATAATTAAATCATTTTTTTATTCAAATCTTTTAATAAAAAAATTAATTGAATCATTTTTTTATTAAAATTTTTTAATAAAGTATTTAAAAATTTTTTTTTTGATACGAAAAATTTGATAATTTTGTAAAAATATTAAAATTAAACTAAAATTAAAAAAAAAATGATTTAACAAGAAAAAAAATCTAAAAATAATTGAGACCGTAAAGCACGTAATAGAATCTAAAAAATGTCAGTAAATTTTTTACTTTTACGACATCATTAGCCTTGTTACATTCATGGTGTCGGAGGAGTAGTGAAAAAATTGACGTATGATTTACCGGAAGTTTTATACATCTACATATAACTATCGTGTCATCCATCATGTTTCTTGCAGTACACCATTACAGTCTTTTTCCTGTCCCCGCCTCGGCCCCGTCAAACCTCGACCGCAGTCGGGTTCCATTTCTGCATTAACGATACAAGAACATCCACCAGACATTATAAAAGACTAATGCTAGATTTATACGGAGCCAAAAAATAAATCCACTTTTTATACGTCTTTTATTTCTTATAACTTATATATAAATCATAACAATCCAACACATTATCTTTATGTATTTTTATTATTTGTTGTCGTTATATATGCGATAGAGAAATAATAGATTAATTTTGCGCAGACGCAATTCTGAGTTTACAAGTTGGGTCGTGATAGCAACCTGCTGCAAACAATACCCCGCAATTCTATACAATGGTGTAATTACCGTAGGCTTCCCGCATCGTCATCAGCACATACTACCTTCCTTCATATTTTATTCTTATGTTCTATTTTATGCTATATACTACTATATACTTTAATATTCATACTTATATGTATGTGTTCACTACGTGCAATAATATTAAAAAACGGTATTCATGTTCTTGTTTTAATGGCACGAAATCGAGAGACTATTTCGCTATTAAATTTTTCACTTAAATATAGAACTAAAAAATTTTTTTGTAAAGTTTTTTAAATGATTATTTAATAATGTATTTTTCTAAATTACATTTATTTAAAAAAAATTTTTAATAATTTTCAGATAATAATAACTAGTAATCTTGGAAAAAATTAAAATTTTGCTTTATTAAATGATGATTCTTGTTAAATTGCACTGTACTTTCTTAAATATTCACATTTTTCAAGATATAAGCTCATCCATTTTTCATATATACATATATATAATATATATAAATATATGAAAAATTGATGTGGGTATTCAAATGAAAGGTCTCGATGATTGTAATGTCGGAGTGAGCTTATATCTTTAAAAATAACATTAGTTGACAAGATACAATGTCATTTCTTAATTACTGACATTTTTTAAGATATAAACTCATTTCGATGTTACACTCATCGAGACCTTTCATTTAAGTACCCACATGGCATTTTTTATATATTTTATATATATGGTATTTGTGAAATATATAAATATATAAAATATATGAAAAATTGATGTGGGTACTCAAATAAAAGGTCTAGATGAGTGTAACATCGGAATGAGCTTATATCTTTAAAAATGTCAATATTTCACCAGATAAAAGGTAATTTCAATGAAATGAAACCTTAAAAAGGTGCAAATTCAAGTCAAGATTTTTGCAATGACACTCAATTTCTCTAAAAAAACCGATTTTATGATATGAATATCCTAAAAACAAAATTTATCTTATTCTCTTAATAATATAGATAATAAATTAAAAAAATTTTACAATTTTTTTCCACGTAAAAAAATATTTGTTTTTAAATTCAAGACAAAGACAAATTTAATAAACTTTATTGATGTCAAAATAATACCCGAAATAAAATAAAAGAGTAGACTTGAAAAAGATCTACCTGACTTGGTTTGAAATTACAGGGAAGAAATAAAGATAAAAAAAAAAAAGGTGTATTGAATTGGCGCGAAACCAAGAAAGGAACAGAACTCTACAGGGTTACGTTGCGTTCTATTGTACAATAAGATTGGATGAAAGTAGCACACTATATACTCCACAGAGGTGTAGAGTGTAGAAGTTAAAAAGAAGTAGAATAGAATGAGAATGTAAGGTAAAAAAGAGGAGCCAAGAAGCTGATGAGTCATCGGGTAAACTCGCTTAACTTCTTTATACTTGGCAGCAGGTTGCTGTAGTCATATAAATATATATAGAGAACATTCCCCTATCCTCCAATCCTCAAGCCGTTCCATCTAGCATAGCTCGATTTAAGCGTCAGGTGTAGAATAATTGAGGCTTAGGTTACTCAAGTGTACATATGTATACTCAGGTGAACCCTATTATCCAATCCCCATTGTCATCGTTTGAATTATAGATCATTTATTATTAAATGTCCCGGGGAAAAAAAAAAAAATAAAATAAAATACACATTCATTTTTTTTTTTAATTTATATTTATCCGTCTAGGAGTAATAAACTATGCAACAATTACAATTACTCAATAATCAATTGCATAATTTCCTGCATCAATGAAATAATCATCAATCGAGTGTGTCATCTTTTTATTTTTACATTTACTACCGCGGTTTTATTTACGAAACTCACTCGCGAGATTTTTTATAATTTATAATTAAATATTTTTCTTTAAAAAATTTATTAATTTATTAATGTTAATAAATTAGCCAACTCGAAAACGGCAACTTTTACAATATGTGAGTAACGAGTCAAAGAGAGGTAAATTAATTAATTTGATTTTGGTACAATCGCTTTCTGCTGTTTAAATATTTGACTTCAAAGAATAATAGTGTGCATTATAATATATATTATTATTTTATTTAATATTTAATATTTATGTACCCAATAATAAATAGTATATACTCGGTATGATAAATTGAGTTTATATTTTGCAAGTTGGGAAGATAAAAAATATCAAGGGTTTAATTTTAAATTTGTCGACTTTAGAAATATTCTTTCACATTCTGTTGTTGGCATTGTGTAATAATTTACAGAAAAATAATAATAATAACAATAATAGTGACTGAATCATTTCATGAGGAAAATAATGCTATGGTAAAAAGTTATTGTACGTAAATTTATTACAGTCACGCCCTATTCACAAGAGATGCATCCCACTCATTATTCTAGGTAAATTTGTGCATCTTCCTTCTAACCACTTATTTTTTTTTTTATATAATAATAACATACATTGTATAAATTTTGTATACTTATACAATAAAGTTACTGGTATTTATGGCTTTTGTGCCGTCAATGACGAAAGAAATAAATTTTTTGAATGCAACAAGGTCTATATTCTGAGAAAACAAATAATTCGGTGAGAAAAACTGACTTTTTTGTGTCCCAGAATTTTTAGAGGAAAATTATTGGGATTTGTGTTTCCAATCCCGGTAATAAAATAAATTATAGAAAGTACAAAACATTAGACTTTCTACGCAGTATTTTCCAAGTAAAGGACCTCGTAAATTATTTTTTAAAATTTATGGGTATTGAGAAAAAAAATATTTACCTTGACAATCTTTGACACAAAGATCAAGCTGCCGATTATGAGATTTAGAATCACAAATAGACGAGCACGGCCTGCACTGGGTGTCGAAAAGACTGCAGTACTCGGAAGTTGAGCATCTATTTTCCCCGCATTTGGTTCCCACGGGGTCCAGCGTCGCCTCCGATATCCCGACCGCCAAAATAAAGACCAAAAAAAGATTAAGCAGCGTCATTATATATAATAATATTTTTATCTCCTCATTAGCGTTGGAACGTCAATCCCTCGGTTATTCTCAGCAACATGCCTTGGATGTTTCGCTTGGAATCTGACGACTCCATTTTTAATCTGGAAAAAAAGTCTTATTAAAAATTGAAAAAAAAATATTCTCATTATTAAAAACATTTTATCTACTTCGATGTAGATATCCTTTAAATCTATATTATTAAGAGAGTAAGCAAAATTTTGTGGCCATGGCCATATGTTAAGAAATGACCTTGTATCTTGTGAACTATTGACATTTTTAAAGATATAAGCTCATCCCGATGTTACATTCATCGAGACCTTTCATTTGAGTACCCACATCAATTTTTCATATATTTTATATATATATGAAAAATATATCAAAAATTCATGTGGGTACTCAAATGAAAGGTCTCGATGAGTGTAACATCGAGATGAGCTTATATCTTTAAAATATATATTATATATATGTATATATGAAAAATATATCAAAAATGCATGTGGGTATTCAAATGAAAGCTCTTGATCAGTGTAACATCGGGGTGAGCTTGTATCTTTAAAAAGGTCAATAGTTAAAAAAATACAGTGCAATTTAACTATATACGTATATATGAAAAATATATCAAAAATGCATGTGGGTATTCAAATGAAAGCTCTTGATCAGTGTAACATCGGGGTGAGCTTGTATCTTTAAAAAGGTCAATAGTTAAAAAAGTACAGTGCAATTTAACAAAAGTCATTATTTAATAAAGCAAAATTTTATTTATTTATAATTCACAAGTCGTGAAAGTCACGTAGTGACTGCAAGGTAGCTAGTAATATTTAAAAGATTCTCTCTAAATGATATCAAGCATATAGAATATTTATTTTTCGTGAGAAAACACGCAAATTGAAAAGGGCACATCTGGTTGTGTTGCTAAACCGGATTAGTACTCAATCGAGTACAAATAATACGCGCATTCACATTTACGGTAATTGCGTATTATCGTTCATCATGTAGCATTACTAATTTAGTCAGGACTTTATAGTCTCAATGGGATTTTCACTGCTCATGTTTCATGTTAATTTATCCTCTTTACTATATTATTATCATTATTATTTTTTATTTAACAATTTTAAGTTAAAAAAAATTGATTATAACTAAAATCGTTATCGACTTAATTACAGTAGAATAAAAAAATAAAAATCAACAGAACATGTGCACATAAAATGAAGGTATATCGGTTCCATTGGTGATACGTAGAGTACGTGTCGGAATGTAAAATAATAATTTCAATAAGTGATTAGTGTATACACATAAAGTATGTTACAAGTGATACGCTTCAAGGACAAGAAAATATTCCGGCCGATGAATCACCTCGTTAATGTACATGAAAATTATTTTCTCAAACTAACTGTAATCAAAAACTCCTTAGTGAAGATTACAATCATTATTTGATAAAAAGAAACTACTTATGGCAGTTTTTTTTTTTATATTTAAAACAACAATTATCAACTTTAAGGCAATATCGATTATTTAAACGAAAATTCCCACGGAATTTATGACTCATCGCTCCCGTTTGCAATAAAAATTTATTTTTATACAAATATGCTAATAAATTTAAATAACAAGCCGACCTAGAGATATCAATATCAATTGCTATTTATTATTTATTACGCGTTATATTTTTTAGCGAACAATAAGTTACACAACCTCTTCTTTATAGTTTAATTTAACATTACAGGTAAGTTATCTAACCGACAATTGCTCTGTACTCTAATTACTTCTACAGTTAACAATGATCGCAATTTTTTAAAAGGTCCAATACAAATTGTATAATAAAAAAATAAATTAAATTTTTAACGATTAGCAAATAAATTTCTAAGGACAACAAAGTAATGAGCGGAAGTCTCAACCACATCCGCAAAAATTTATGTCATCTGTAAGAATCATCTTCCGATAGAATGTATTATTAAAAATATTATTTTATTGACAAACTTTTCCTCTTTAATTCTACTTGTTAGCTTTTATTCTCAAGAATAAAATATAAAATGTCGAAGATAAAACCGCAACCAAAATGGTGGCCTTATTAAAGTCAAGCGTTGGCGTTCTTATTTCTTATTCTTACGCTTGTTCTTGTACACAAAGTTACTGTAGCATATATAATACTAATACTCTCTCTTGTTGAATTCGATCCAACAGTTATAAGTCGGGGAATGTTGTTTGACTAGTTCTTGCGTCGTGTTTAATAGTACAGACCGATTTTATATACATAAACACTACGCGCTATTAAACGTACAGTACCTTCACGTACTTATTGTGCATTTGGTATTTTGTATACTCTTTAAGTCATTGCTCCTTTCATTTTATTCAATATTAACATTTGCGAACATGTCGGACTATTTTATTGCGCATTTAAATTTTATATAAAAATAAAAATAAAAATATGAACAATAAAATAAGTAAAATTATTAACCGTAACGATGTTCTTCCGAGCATGACTTTATATTGAATGTATGTTTTTTTAATAAAATAAATATATTTCAAAAATTGTATATGGTAAGAAATTGAAAAATACGCGTGCGCGAAATTTGAAATTCAAAAAGAAAAATTAATAAACTTACATGGTATCGAAAGAGCCCAGGTACGAAACAGGTAACTCGACATGTTAAAAGTCTTCACCTTAATATATTGACTTCCTGTGTGCGACTGTCGATCGAAGAGCGTCGACCAGAACCCGGAGCTGAACCTACCAACCGGTCAGGTTTGACTCCCACCTTAGTGAGAAACCCCTGCCCCTCTTGCCCTGCGAAGCACCTGCGGCTTTCCCTGCTCGCTGCTTAGCTTGTTTTTTCTTTTTATTATTTTGTTGTGAGAGACTAAAGGCACTTGTTCTTTTTACCTGTTGCCAACCTGCGTGCGCATTGACCGGTCATCGATCATCAATTTTTTTATCATTTTGGTAAAAAAATTAAATTGTTTGAAAAAATTAATTTTTAATGTTATAAAATTTAGAAATTTACTTGAATAAAGTGAATAATTTTGAAGAACTTCAACTTTGTTTGACTAGAAAAATTCTTAAACTAAACAATTTTACTTAATTTAAAAATTTTGCGTCTTGATTCAAGACAATTAAACTTTTTAAAATTATTTTCTTGGTTAAAGAATTTTTTTTTTTATTCAAATTAATTTTTTTTAGTGTAGTTAATCTTTGTTTTTAATTTAAAAGCTAAATTTTAAGTTAAATCTTGCAAATACAATTATAATTAATCAATTTTTTTTAATTTATTATTGAAAATCAATTAATAATTAATATTATGAATATTTTCAATGAAAAAATTATTTTTAATTTTAAAATATCATTAAAAATGTTCTTAGTTAAAAATTGTTCATTTTAATTCAAATTAATTTTTTTTTTCAGTGTATTTAATCTCTGATTTAAATTTAAAAGTCAAATTTTAAGTTAAATCTATCAGAAATAATAATAATTAATCAATTTTATTGAAAAAATCAATAAATAATTAAAATTATAAATATTTCCAATGAAAAAAATTATTTTTAACTTAAAAATATTCTTAATTCAAAAATTTTTCACTTGAGTTAAATTAATTTTTTTTTTCTATAGTTTGAAATTAATTAAATTTTTGAGTTACTTTGTTTAGAGTTCAAAAAAATAAATAGGCGCATGCGCCTTGTGAAAATTGAAAGGTTAAATAATTCATTTTAAGGGATTAAAATTAATAAAAAATAAAATTAAAGAAAGTAAATAATTAAAGCCATCAGATAAGTTTTATTTACATATATATATATATTTTGTTTTATTGCGTATTAAAGGTTCATACAAAGATATAACAATGATCTTCACATATTGCGGCGCTACAGGTGCTCACGTTACCAAGGTGGATACAATAATATTTTTTTGACAATCGAGGAAAGAAGTAACTGCTTTAATCCATTTTTTCGGGGATGTCTCGCAATTAAACCATCCTGTAAAGCCTCTTATATATTTATTTTGTGACTGATGATTGTTATTGTAAACAAAGTAAAATAATAAAATAATAAAACGTTGACACGAAAAGAGCGATGACAGAAAAAAGAAATAAATTTGGTTGTAAAGATTTAGCAAAAAAACTCTTTTCACGTCAGCGCACTTTAATCCTTCGGTATTTAATATATTATTATTTATTTATTAATTTACAAAGGTATTAATTGTTTTAATTGTACAATTCAACTGTTTAGTTTGTAAATAATGAGACGAAGTTTGTATAATCGTCAGATAAAAAAAATTGTTTTTCTTGACAATCACAAATATATATTTTTATTTATACATAGTATTTTTATTTATTATTTGGTTGAGATTTAATGCGCAAATAAAATGATCGTAGATGTTCCAGTGCGTCTGCTAGACCCTTAAACAGTTATTTAATTATTAATTTACAATATTAATTTATTTGGTAATTCTTAATTTATTTATTAATTTATATTTTCTGTTGTATTTTTTATTTTATTTTGTTACAATATTAATATTAATATTATTGTTATTATTAGTAGTAATTACAATTTAATATGCCAATAAATAGCCTGACTATTTATCATTAGAAAAAAATTTTACAATATATATATATATATATATATATATATATATATATATATATATAT